GGCTAAGGCTTTTCATTTGTTGGAAGGTTATTAACCAACAATATAATTAAATGGATAAAAGGCTGTTCTTATTTTCACCTTCCTCTTGTTCCTTTTAAAATCTATCATTCAAGGCATGTTACTTTTAAGTTGTTTAATTTATGGGCACAAAGTTTTTCACATTTGTATTAAATTTTAGTATTTGTAGGGTCTTTAGTGATCTTTTTGTCTTGACATTAGTAACTTCTGTGTTCTCTCCCTCCTTCCCTCCCTCTTTCCCTCTCTCGCTCTCTCTCGTTCTCTCATGGGTCAGCATGCCCAGAGATTCATTTATCTTACTCATTATATAAAATAAAAATATTTTTATTTTAGCATTTTTCTTTTGTAATACTATAAATGTATAAGCAGTGGCTACTATTTTTGCTTTTGGTAATTGTCTTTAGAATGAATAAGTTAATCTATTTCTTTTATATTCACCTTATTTTATCATTTTCAGAGATCTTTATTTCTTTGTTTAAATTTACTTTTTTTCCCTGGTGTCATATTCATCAATGTCTTTAGTGTAGCTTGTGTTTATGCTTTCAATACTATTGGTTCTTAATCATATTCTTTTTTTGGTGAAGATAAGAGTAAAGTGGGAGAAACAGAGTTTGGTCTTACGGGGCTGCAAATAAAGACAATCAAAGACTTTGCAAGGGAGAGGCAACAGTAAACAGCAGGCCTCACCATCTCAACACCACCACCTATTTCCATCCCTTATAAGCTCTGAAATAGTAGGGAAGGAGGCTCATCATGCCAACGGTGTCCTAAAAAGTGCCGGGGTACCTGATGAGTAGTGAGTAACAGAGTAGCATGAATACCATAGGCAAAGATGGAACATAGTCTGATTCTCACATAAATCCATTTTGCAACCATGTCTGTAAGTGAAGAATGGGTTAGCATGGGCTAATTACAAACAGTAAGGCACAAATGGGAATTGCTGTTGTAGCTAGGAGCCATCATCATGTTGACGACAACTCATAGGGCAAACTGAAGCTTACCCTATTCTGTGCCATCATCACGACCTCTAATGTGTGTCAGCCCATTATTATGGTCACGCCACTGTTAGTGTCAATCCATGTTAAGGGTTGTTCTCTTTTCCTCAGACCCTTCGTCTTTCCCAATATGATGTCTTTTTCCAACGGCTATCCCCTATTGACAATATATCCAAGACCAAGTTTCACCACCTTTGCCTCTAAGGAACACCCTGCTTGAATTTCTTTAATGGTAAAGCAAAAATGAAAGCAAACACAATTAGAAATTATATTAACAGGAATGAAAGCAAATATTACACGTCTTAAAATGGAGAAATTGCATAACTAGTGAGATCTGGAAAAGTAAAATTGAAAACAGACAATTACATAACTAATGGCCTATTGACAAGAAGTTGTGCTGCAATCCCAAAGGCACGTGGTTCAAATCCACCAGTTGCTCTGCAGAAAAAGGATGGGCAATCTCCTCCTATGCAATTAACTGCCTCTGAAAACTTGCTGGAGGGTCAGTTCCAACTTGAAGGTACACTACCACCACCACCACAACAATGAAAATAAAAAATTATATTCCTCTTGGGAATAAATTTAACCAGAAGTACAAAGGACCTTTTCCAAGAAAATTACAAAACATTACTACAAAAAACAAAAAGAGATCTTGAAAAGTGGA